AATTCGCAATGTTTGTGATTTTAAGAGCATTTTTTTAGAACTCACTGAGATTGAATTGGTTATTTTGCAAAATATCCTCGAAATCGAATACCGTGATCTTGAGTATGTTGTGATAGAAGTCTGGGCAAACAATCTCGTTGATGAAAATGACATCCTTTTCAAGGGCTTCTTAAATGAAGATGATCGGGCTCAAAAAATCACCAACATTGCGAATTTGATTCATGTTATTCCATTCAAATATAAAAGGCTCCTTTTATCTTTTTTTCCTAACATCGATGAAGATAAATATCTTTCGGCATATTCTAGCAGTTTTAAAATCAATTTTTTTCTTGGAAAATCAAAAGATCTGCAACCAAACATCGAAATACTCGAGAATGATATTAAAAATGCGGAATTCATGTTGCTTTATGATACACCTTCGAAATTAGAACTGACTCATTGGAGTAATTTTAAACTTCTTGGGTTTCCCAGTGGTATCTCTTTTTTATACGACTTAGCTGGATCATCCGAACGTTTAGATGATTTTGTGGATAAATTTAATTCTCATTATCTTGATTTTATACGATTTTATCTTGAAATGGATGAGAATAGCGATGAATATCAATTTGTTTGCTTATTTCATATCATTTTCGTGGTATTCAATACGTTAGATGATCAAAATCTGGCAACTTTTTTTTCTGACTTGAAAAAAAAAAGATTCCCTGAAGAAGTGCTCAATATTTATGAAAAAAAGATGGGATTCGTGTCGCCTCCCTCTTATGATGAATCGAAAAGGATTGCTAAACCGCTCGAATTGTCTCCTATAGGCTATGACAGTCTCCTAATCATAGCCATGCAAAGAAAAACTCTTTCATCCGATCTTTTCACATCAGATGCGCATTTTATGCTCTTTAGTGATGCAGCTTTTTTTCAAGAGAAATTGAAATCAATCGTGTCCATTGATGAGCTTTTTTCTGGGTTTCCCCTGAAAGCCTTAAAAGATCCAAAGCTTCTTGCTCAAATATTGCTCTGTGGGTCCATTAAGGAACTCTGGACTTTTTTTATAGTTAATGACGAAAAAATCCCAGAGTTGCTTGATCTTTTGTGGTCCCATTTCATTACAACCTTTTATTGCGAGTCTCCCCTTTTGAAAAAAACTCCTTTTTGCGTGGCTCAGGCCGAAAAAAAAGAAGCTTTTACTCAAAAAAAAAAAGATCTTCGCCTAGTGAACCATTACTTGTCACGGTGCACGACAAAGTTTTCATTCTCATTGAGTTTTTTACTGGATCTCCCTTGTATGAAGAACAGAAGACAATTATGTCCACCATTTTAAACAAAATGATAGATGGAAGGTCATATGTCCTGCAAGAGGGAATTGCTGGCGGAAAGACCACGCGTTTCGGTCCCGCTGCCGCAATTGTAGCAACTTCCATTTTAAGGAAACTGCCAATCTTTATTTTCCCCAATTCCATCTTCAATCAGAACATTATGCAACTGCGGCAGTGGCTTTTTGATTTTTTCGGGAAAAGCGTTTTCGAATTCAAATCAGAACGATCGCCTTATGGATACAGCGGACCATATCTGCGCTATCTGTACTATCGCCTTACAATGGCCTATGATCGCGGCGATGTGTTCGTGTCTTCGATGAACAGCATCCAATGCCTGCTGAATGCTAGGAAGGAACTGCTTTTGCAAAACACGGAGGCGTCAAAAAGGTCTCTTGATTGGGTTTTGGGGATCTTGCATTTCATTGAGCACTACTCGATATTTGTGCTCGACGAAGCAGACGAAATCATGGATGTTTCCGTTTTGTACAACTTTGACACCAATGAGGCCGATCAAAAGGACTGGAAAGTCATTGATGTGCTTATTGAGTGTTTCCTGTTTTTGAGACACAAAAAGGTATTCGAATCGCAAACTGGAGCCCCGATCACCATTTTTGAGATCAAGGAGCCTCTTACGCAGTCTACTGCCGTGTCCTTCAAAGATACATTGAACAAGGTGCTTGAGAAGATTTTGAGAAAGACGAGAAAGAAAACTCGCGCGTTGATCGTTGATCACCTTTTTGTCGATTGCTGGAAAAAGGTCCGAAATGTGGGGTATGGAGCATCTATGGAGTCCCCGGTTCCATATCCAATCCCATATTCGATGGCAAATACACCGAGGGAGGGAAGCAGCTTTGGAAACTATCTGTTTCTGATTGCGATTTCGCTCAAGTTTTACCTTGAAAACGAGATGAAAGATCTGAGCGGACCTCCTTTATTCTTTACTGAGGAAAAGATTTATTCTATCCTGGAGCTTTATTGTGATTATGACGAGCTAGAAGAAATCAAAATGGAAACCAAATCATCTTTTGCAGAGTGTTTCAACCATTTCAGGGAAAAGATATACGAAAATGACGACACTCTGAAGGTTTTTTTCAAGCAGGTCGTAATTGAAAGTATCAAGACATCGCCTCATAATCACAATAAAGCTCCAGGAT